TTTTTTTTTCACGCTTTTTCGCCAAATACAAAGGACCAGAAAAGTCGAACATCTAACTATCCGCTTGTTCGATGTTCGATGTTCGACTTTTGAAAAAATTACGTAGGACCCACCCTGAACTCTTCTCGCATTAAAAATCGAAGGCAAAGTACAGCAGCAGGAGGGGAGGGTAGAGAGGGGCTCTTCTGTGTGACCACGGGTTGGAGTAAACGGCACCAGTCAGCGCTGTGAGCGCTGATTTGAAGTGAAGACAAAAAAAACACAGCCGCATATATATATATGTAAAGTGCAACATTTTGAACGGTGGCATGTACAATCATCGTCGCTCCCGTCGCACGCCTGCTGTCCCTCTGTGGTGCACGCTTAGCTGCACCAAAAACGATTCACGCTGGAGTGTGTCGGGATTCGTGCACAATCAGGATCGCAGATAAGACTACTACAAGGTATTGAGTCGCACCGCGCGGCTCATTACCCCCCCATACCTTGTGTTGTTCCCTAGCAACAACAATATTTCGGGAAGTTATGTACTATTGTAGAAGTGCTACAGCCACGCTGTATCCAGGTAGGTTGTATGAACTTCTTTCTGTTCTTTCGCACTGCTTTTGTCCCTACCCAGTCATTTCCTCCTCCCTGCCCGTATGTCACGTCACAACTTTCCTCTCTCCGTTGTTCTGTCTCCGAACATTACGCACGTAAGAGTGGAAGGGCGCGTGGGATCCACGTCATACATGGCTATCTGCTATCTACGAAACGACTCCTTTATTAGACTACAGGTCTTGTCATTTTCCTTGGTCCGCGCTTCTCAACAATAATGATCCGATCTCTCTCTAGCAATCTCTCCCCTTTATGTCCGTTGACCTCTCCTCTCTATTTAGAAACTCTCTTCTGTTGTGCTTCTTTGCTTCGCCCACTCCCCTATCTGCCGGCTCTCGTAACCACGCATCTTTCCCTTGCCCACCCAACCGAAAGGTACACTCTCACACCAGAGCTGCGCCGACGGAGAACACAATATTGAGGGAGAGGCTTTAGGTGTGAAGCCTGTGAGTTCATTCCATAGCCCAGCCAGCCGCGTTCTTGGCCCTCCAAAAGGCGAGCTGCGGGCAAAAAAAACAGAACCAGGCGTACCCCGTGAAGTGGCGAGAGAGAGAGCGATGAGGGAGGAGTCTTTGGCGACAGCGTCGCGGAGTGCTGGGAAGAGCGGCAGCAGGCGATGCAGCTGGGCAAATGGGAGAAATTGGCGGGCGGTGGAGGTTGCGTCCGTCGCCCTCGTCGCTCTGACCAGACGCGTGGCGGCGCAGAGCGAAGAAGTCTCGGGCATCTACACTTACAAGGGATGTTTCGTGGACAACCCCGGAAAGGATCGCGCCATGGAGCACATGTCGATTATCCCAGACCTTACGCTGGAGCGCTGCGCCGTGATCTGCATGGAAAAGGGCTATGCGTACGCCGGGCTGGAGTGGAAGATCGAGTGGTGAGTCTGCGGCAGGCCTTTCGTTGTGCTGATGTCGGCACTCCTCGGTGCGCTGCTGTTGGGGAATCCTTCATGTTCTCGGCCTCTCTTTCACACTTCGTCAGATTCTTTTTACAAGTTCACAGCGGTACTTTCGGCAGTTGGTGACATACCGGCCGCCGACTTTGGGGAACACGCCCCGGTAGCACGCTAATTGGCACCCACTTTCTTCGTCATTGCCATCCGGGTAACCACAGCAGCAGTGTAACAGCAGCCGACCGCCGGTATTCGGATCCCACCTGATTCGAAACCCCGTCGCCATTCTCCCATACGGTCCTATCTACTTGACCGATATTCATCTGGAGTGCACACTCCCTGTACGAAGGTTGCGTGTTCTTTCTCTCTTTGTTGTTTTCCAGTCCGGCACTCTTTGCTCTTATCGCGGTTCTTGTCCATCCGCGACTGCTGTTAGTCTTGAACGCCTTCTCGTTGTGATCCTTTTCCTGCGTGCGTCGGAGAGGAGTTCCGACAGCCAGCAGCAGCAGCGGCGGCGGCTCTCTCCCCTCTGACTGACGATCGTATTCACATGATGTCAGGATTCGGGGTCGGAACGTCTTTCATGGCTCCTCCCTTCCTACGTGCGGTACACTTCGGCACTTCCGAAAAAATTGACCGATCAGGGCACCTTGTTTAAATTCTTAGCTCTCTACGACTACTCCTGGAAACAGCAGCAGGGGACACAATGATGAGCATTGGTAGGTCTCCAGGACTCATGGTCCTCACAGGTACATGTGCGAACGCATGCGTCCGTCCGCCTCCCCCGGCATCCGGCATTGGTAGGCTTACCTTTTCTTTTGGCGGTATTCACTACTTGTTGCTTGAAAAGCATCGCCGCCGCCGTTAGATCGCTGAATGTTGACTGGATAAGGGAAGGACGTGGGATCTTGAGAAACGACGTGGAACGCGCGCGTGCTATGTGTGTTGTTGTTGTTGTTGTTGTTGTCTTCACATTAAAAACCGTTCCGATCTCTCTCTACCCAGTACCTTCGTATGTCCGTACTGATCCAACACTCGACGCGGTCGATTCCCGTGGTCGCAGGCTAACTTACCCTTAAAAGGTACACTCAAATAAACTGGCCCCGAGGGGTCCGCAAGTCAATAAAAAATCAACGACAGATATTCTGGAGTCCTCCACTCCCTCTGCGCGCTATGCGAGGTAACAACTGAGACTAGGAGGCACCATCACGGGCCGGAGAGAAAGAGGTACGCCCCCTTGGTTCAATCTTGGTGCTTCACGACGCAAGCAGAGAGAAGGCCGTCTGGCACAGAAAAAGAGAAGAAAAAGAGAAAAAGAGAAAAAGAGATTGAGAAAAAATAAAATAAAATAAAAGGAAACAGCGAGGAAAAAGAAAATAAAATGAAAAGGAGCGAGGCCAAAAAGGGACCGTGTGTAGCTCCCCATCACGACCGTGTCGTTCTCTCGGTGCGGTGTGTCTGTTTCCAAAAGGGTCCGGACCGCGAAGCCAACCCAAGGCCGAAAGACCGGCACTTGTAGAACCGGCGAGTCCCGATAGCGTTGCACACGTTACTTGTATACTTCAAGCAGATTACGATACCTGCGCGTCGCCCAGAGGCACGAAAAAACGGTGGAGCCTCCAAGAGAGCCGTTGCCGACCGCGCTACTTGCTGCCACGTTTCATTCGATATATACCTCCGCTGTAACTTGAATCTACAGCTGTCGTACCTATGCATACCCGGCTGCAAGATATATGCTCAGATACTGCTGCATGGTTGGCAAGAACCGAACACTTGACATGATTGTAAACGACGTTGGGGTGAAATTAATATTGAAATTATGGGCTACAAGCAGTATTTCATTTATTTGTTCTCTGCTGGTTCACGGGCTCTGGCTTCATATCCACGTATGGATGCAGATTCGGAGGCGGAGCTCTATGTCATTTCATACAATGAACGCACACCCCCGTCTCCCAGTAGTAATTCTATTGGTGTTGGGCATTGCATAAAATTAGCACCAGTACAGATGGCGCCCGCACTTAAGAACCTCTGGTTTCGGCCGAGGCTTGGGTTCTTATTTTGCTGATCATCCTCTTGTGGGCCACAACTGGCCGCTATATAGGTTTTAGTGTAGGGTTCTTAACCAAGCTCACATATGGTGCTCAAGTTCTTAGCTTCTGATTTTTTGCGAGTCTCGATTTCTTAACTGCAACGTTCCTAAGTACGGGCGCTGTCTGCAAGCAGAATGCGAATGGTTCCGTAATTAGGCCTTTGCTCCATCGGCCGTTATGTTTGTATGACGGAGAATAAGAAGGTGAAATTTACTTGAAGTTAGTATGGAAAATACTTTTTGTGTATCTAAATCATAAATATAACGGCCGATAGAGCAAAGGCCTATCCGTACTGCTAATGCTCTCAACCGGTAAACTCTCTGACAGCCGTTTTACTCGTGCAAGGCCGAATTCCTTCGTTTGTCTGTGGTGTCGTTGGGTCGTTGGGACGTACGTCCAACTGCTCCAGGCGCTGCTCAAACAACCCTTGTCGCTTCGGATATGACGTCTGCTCATCGGTCGGAACGTGCGATCGTTTGCATACGGGCTCCCATATTTGACCACTGCTGTTGTTGTTGTTGTCTTCACATTGAAACCGTTCCGATCTCCGTTCAGTACCTTCCAATGTCCGTGCTGGTCCAACTGACGCGGACGCCTTCCGTGGTCACAAGCTACATATATGCGTCCAACGACTACTCAACAGACTTGCGTGTGTCTTTGTGGGTTCCCGTACTACAATCGTTGGTACCGGCCGCGTTACAAAAAAGGCCTGACATCCGATAAATGATTAATACTCTACCGATTTGTCGGGCAGGGCTGGTGTGTCTGCCATAATACAACAATACTGCTGTACGCGTGCGTCAGGTGAGTGGCGCCTGTCAAAATGACCGCCGCGTGGGGTCTGAACTGGTCCGGCGCGGTCCCCCTATTCCATGGAGTACACCATATCTTGTCATGAGGACTCGCGGTAAAATACTCGCATCACCTTACACCCCAGAATTATGACATGGTTCCGCTCATGACAACACGAAATTTCAGCGTACAAGTACCGAAGGCGTCGTATGATACGTCGGTATGAGAAATGTTGGCATCGGTAGATGTGATCGTTACGTAGACACAGCCCCCAACGCCCAGTGATTGTGCCGCCCCGAGCCCCCCCCCCGAAACGCAAGACAAGAAGGTGTCGCACTCGTCGACAGTCTGTTCTTTCTTTTTCTTTTTTCCGCATGCAAACACAAGCTCGATGAATCCATCCTCGGCTGCAAGTTCCCCCGCTTCACCACAAAGCTATCTATCATAGGTGTTGATGATACCAACCCCCACACCAACGCTTCTCTTCCACCACCTCACATGCACAGCTTCTGCGGGAACAGCTACGACGAGTGGGGAAGCTCCACATCGTGTGACATGTACCTTGCCGCAGAGCCCACCGTCGAGGCCGGCGGGTCCTGGGCCTTGTCAGTCTACGGGCTTCCGGAGGTGCTCGACGTTAACTCGAACTCGGCGGCTGCGGTTGCCGCTTCGGAGGGCGGGAGCGACGCCAAAACGACCGCCAAGTCCCTGAGCGACCTGGGCGCCGTGAAGAGCGGAAAGCGCGCCTTCACGGTGGTGAACGAGTGCTCGCAAGACGTTCGCGTTGGGTCTACCGGGGGAAGGTGAGGCCATGGCGGGGGATGTATATTCCTTTTCTTCTTTGGACAAGTGGGGTGTTGGCGTGTCTGTTGAGTACACAGGCGCTGGTTTCGTCTGGCGTTGGTCTGGAAGCTTGAGGTGCCTGGCTTCTTGGCACACGCAATGTGCGCTCTGGGACCTAAGGCGTATTGTGTTGTTGGAAAGCTCCCGAGACATCAACAGGCCCGCCTCCCGTGCCACATGGCAGCAACATGTAGGGATCGGATCGATTGGCAGATGCTTTGATGCACTTGCGTTTTGTCTTTTTAACAGCAGTGCGGCTCCGCAGGCTTCATGCAGTACCTCGTAGACAGACGTACAGGCGTTTGCATGTGTGCATGCCCCACGATGTAGCATACGGAAATGGGCTTCCACACCCTTCTGGAATGGAATTCGCTTGCTGTACATCCATGTCCGACATTTGTTGGTGGCTGTGGCGCGTTAACATGGGAGCACCATGTGGTAGATCAACACGATACACGGGTGCTGCCTCCCGACACCTTTTACGCTAACGCCCCAGCCACCCAACGACGAGGGCAGGCGGGGGATCCACACGGTTGTTGGAGCAATTTCTACGCGCGGAGACGGTGGCCCCTTCCTGCTCGACCTTACTCCACGCCGTGTTTTGGTTGCAAGCGGCCCTCCTCTGACCAAACAATCCTCTAACAAACAAGCAAAACACCGGTGCCCCAAACGCTTGTAATTCAAATCCCCTTTTTAGGATCACGTTCGGCTCCGGAACGGACCCCGAGAGCAAGGATAACTGCGACGCGTGGGGTCCGTCTGCCACGTACAACACCGGGCCCATGGGAATCGGGTGCTACTGGGACTTCCCGGAAGAGGAGTCGGGCAACACGGACCGCATGCTCTCGCCGGGACAAGCGTTCCGCTACTACCTCCACGAGACGGACTCGGACGTTCGCTGGAGCGGGACCATCTGGGGCAGCACCGGCTGCGACAAGATCGCGGGGTGCGCGACCGGGGTGTGCTACTCCCCCTCGACGGACTACATCTGCCCGGCGTACGTCGGCCCCGGCGGCCCCACCACCAAGGCCGAGTTCACCCTCAGCGAGACCGGCAAGGACTACTACGACATCTCGGCTATCGACGGGACCAACCTCCCCATGATGATCGAGCCCGACAACCCGGTCTTCCCGAACAGCACGGAGCAAAACATCATGAAGGTGCGTTTTTCGCCGCGGGGCAGGGGGTGGGTGTGCATGGGTGGGGAAGAGAAGGAAGAAGACGGTGGGTCCCTTTTTGTGAAAGAGAGCGGGGGGATGGACAACCCGCAGGCGGACGATTTTTATCGTGTGTGTTGTACTTCTCGTTTGTTTTTCTTGCCCCCCACTCGCCCCCCCCCCCGGTGTTTGTCATCGGGGTTGGGTTTTCGTCGCTTGGCAACGACGCTGTAGAACAAGCCAATTCACTTCGTGAACTCGGCAACCAGGTTACCGTTTAATTTTTTTTACCTCTGTTTCTTTTTTGGCGGTAACCATAATGGTGGTCGAGTAGATCATGTTGTGCGGGGTCGAGAACCCTCACTCCGCGCAAGGGGGATGATCGCACCACGTTGTGTTAAAATGGTCAAGCACCATCGAGGCAGTTACACAGTGCCTACAACTGTCTCTGGAAGTGAGAGCACCAGACAATAAATTAAGTCATACGCAG